TGATAAGATAAAGAAGCCATGCACCTAATAATCCTACATGCATACATTTTGCTATTTGTAATAATAATCTGTATTATCAAAATATCGATTACTTAAGTTCCATTTAAACTACTGAATGATTTTAATTAAGATAATGCAATACTTTAAGATAGGGTTAAACATCAGAAGAATAATCATGATTTTATCATTGGATATAATTTCACTCCATATCCTAATGCTGCATTCTATCCTAAAATGGGAGGAAGCTTAAACTCTAATCACTTAAAATTTGAGTCTCATTCTTCATTTGACATAATGTTATTGTTTGTCTATTTACTGAGTGTATTTATACTGAGCTATCACAGTTCGGGTTTGTTAATTATTTCATTTTAAATATGTATTACCTCAGCTGCAATAGTTCGAACTTATTAATGAGTAAATAAATAGTTCTCTCAGCCCCCTTACCTCATATGGATTGTAGTCTTGGGGAAGCTTTTGCAGCATATCTTCCGCCAATCGATATACCACAGACTCTCTTGTTTCTCCACCTCCTCCGCCACTGTCCTTGGGCTGTATATTTACTATGGTGGAGAGCATGGCATCTGTGTTGTTTGTTTGATAACTAGAGCAAATATGGATAATGCAAAAAATATTAAATATGGATAATATTCCGAGGCAAGTTAATTCTTGCGACTATGGAGCTTTGTTTAAAAATAAATTTCCCATTTAGATTGGATATCTGCTTGGACATTTCAGCTATAAAAAAATCAAAAATTCTCCCGAATTCAAAGGCTTGTAGTAATTACTGAGTTTGGCATTTATGCCTATGAGTCAGGCTAAAGATACTAAGGGATAGCTGATTATCAAAATTTTGCCATGAGGGTAAAGTGTTAGGCATTTCGTCAGCTTTGTTGCTGACTTCATTTACTTTGAGGAATAAAAAATTCGTAAGTATTCATTATTTTTCAATTTTACTTATCACCATAGATATATGAAGTAGAACAAATAAAGATTCTGGGTGAACTCATTGTCAGATTGAACTAAGATGCATGCTTATTTTGCATAAAAAGCAAGTGTTGTTATCTTACTTTTTAGCCTTCTAGTTTTTTGAATGGTTTGAGCCTCTTTTTTGTGAATGACCCTAAATATGTTCTCCGTTTCTAAATACTGCTCTTGGTCATTCCATTAGCCTCAGTTTGCAGCCATTTGGTCATTTGTTATTCAGCTTAAACGAGAAAAATTTTGTCAAATCATAAGTATGCGTTTATTGCTTAAATTTATGAGGCTATAGAAGGATAATTAAAATCTATCTTTGATATAAGTTGTGTGGAAACGTCATCGAGAGAGTGTAATCGTGCTTCAATTAGAGGCACGAAAGCTGACATGCAATTGTATGTAGATATTATTTAACTCTACACATATTTTTTTAAAGGTTTAGCTTTAAATGCACCTAAGTTAAATTTAGTAACGATTAGACCCGTACTTAACGATGAACGAAAATTTTGCCCATTAACTATGCATGAAATAAGGAGCTTACGTTATATCAGCATTTGAATGGAGGCCAAAGCATTCAGGTGAATCGACAAGAGGTAAAGTATCAATCTTGCTGCGATAATCCTCTAAAGTCCGGCAGCGAGGAATTTTGTAGCCCTTGTAGAACTCAAAGGCATCACCAAACATATTTTCCGAGAACCATACTCGAGCATATGTGTTGAGCAAACGTTTGTCGTAGTCATCCGTAACTCGTCCCCCATATTGGACCTCTCCTATCATGTATCTGACAGTTGGCCATGAAATTCCCTTGAAAAATTTAATACATAGGAGTTTAATAAAAAATTATGAGGAAAAATAAGCTTAATATTTCAGTATTAAGGGTTTGTTGACAATTATGTATCAACATAGTTTAGGAAAGTATCTCAAAAGACTTGGCTTCATACGCCCATACTTATAATAGTATTACCAGTATTGTAATGAGTACTATTATGTTGATGTCATAACCCTCCAGTATATAATTTTATATGTCCCATTTTTCTACTTTTTTCTCT